AGAATTCAATTTTAGATTCTGGACGATGAAGTGATGAATGTATTGATTTTACAATGATGTGTGTTATTATTTTTTTTTTTTGTGGCTGTGTAATAATGCTTAAATTTCAAATTTTGAGGGTGGTTTCCGATGTAAAAGTGAATATCCTTGGTGCATTATAGAGGTCAAAAGTAAACATTTTCCAATAGCTTTCAAAAAAATCGAGAAAAAGAAAAAAAAAATGACAGAAAAATGGGAATTTTTACGCAAAAGCAGTTTTCGACCAAATCGATTTTTTTTTTGTAGGGATGTAATTCAAAAACTAATCACTGTAAATATTTGAAATTTTCACCAAATGTTTAATTATGTTGGCAGTCCGATGTTGGCATCGCCACAAGAAGAGTAACGTATAACGATTTCGAGTTATTCGTTATAATATGATGTGCACGCCGAGTTTCATTATTTCATCGGTCTGATGTCGTCATGGCCATCAGGCATAGTGAAGTATAACAAGTTCGAGTAACTCGTAATTATTTGATATAATAAGCGATGAGTTGAACTATGTTGGCGATGCAACGTCGTCGTCGTCACATGAAAAGTAACATTTAACAATTTCGAGTAACTCACAATTGAACAGCGTGCGCGTCGAGATACATTATGTAGGTGGTCCGACGTCGGCGTTGTCACATAAAAAGTAACTTATAACGATTTAGAGTTATTCGTAATAATATGATGTGCCCGCCAAGTTTAATATGTTGGCGGTCCAACGTCGGCGTCGTAACAAGAAAAGTAACTCACAATAGAACGACGTGTGAATTGAGTTTAATTATGTTAGCAGTCCGATGTCGTCGTCGTCACAGGAAAAGTAACATTTAACAATTTCGAGTAACTCACAATAGAATAGCTTGCGCGTCGAGATTCATTATGTAGGAGGTCTGACGTCGGCGTCATCACAAGAAAAGTAACTTATAACGATTTAGAGTTATTCGTTATAATATGATGTGCCTGCCGAATTTAATTATGTTGGCGGTCCGACGTCGTCGTCGTCACAAGAAAAGTAACGTATAACAATTTCGAGTAACTCACAATAGAACGGCGTGAGCGTTGAGATTAATTATGTTGGCGGACCGACGTCGGCGTCGTCACAAGAAAAGTAACTATTATAACAATTTCGTGTTGCTCATAATGATGTGATGTTCAGACCGAGTTTCAATATTTCATCGGTCTATTGTCGTCAAGGTTATCAGGAATAGTAAGGTATAACAAGCTCGAGTACCTAACTCGTAATTATTTGATATAAGCGATGAGTTTAATTATGCTGGCGGTGCAACGTCGTCGTCTTCACAAGAAAACTTATAAGAATTTCGAGTTACTTATACTTAGTTGATGTAATAGACTGMAAGCTGAGTATAATTTTGTCATCGGTCTGACTTCCTCATGGTTATCAGGAATAGAAACGTATCACAAGTTCGAGTAACTCGTAATTATTTGATATGCGCGTTGAGATTAATTATGTTGGCGGTCCGTCGTCGTCGTCGTCACAAGAAAAGTAACTTATAACGATTTAGAGTTATTCGTTATAATATGATGTGCCTGCCGAGTTTAATTATTTTAGCGGTTTGACGTCGGCATCGTCACAAGAAAAGTAACGTATAACAATTTCGAGTAACTCACATTAGTACGGCGTGAGCGTTGAGATTAATTATGTAGGCGGTCCGACGTCGTCGTCGTCACAAGAATAGTTACATTTAACAATTTCGAGTAACTCACAATAGAATGGCGTGAGCGTTGAGATTAATTATGTTGGCGG